CCCTCACAGCTCTCGTCGGCTGTCGCCGCTGCTGCCAAGGTCAGGAGCAAAGCTGCAATATGGCGATCCATACTTGCCACCTCTCGCAAGAAATCCGGGGGCGGGCCGACTGATCGCCTTGACGGCTGAAACGCTGCCAGGCACAAGAAACATGAGGTGTCGTCTTCAAAGATGGCGACGCCGATCCTTGGGTTTGTGAGGCCCTTTGCAAAGACCCTCTGAGGGAATAAAAGGGCCATATTAGGAGCATGTTAAGGGAACCGGGGGGGGGGGGGGGGGTACGAATCTGAAATCCCTCGAAAGAAGGGTACCTTAACAACCCTAAACCCTAAACCCTAAACCCTAAACCCTAAACCCTAAAGCCTAAACCCTAAACCCTAAACCCTATCCCCCGAACCAGCCGAGCTCTTGGCAGGGCTGTCCAAGCCGTTTGCTGCCAGGAAGGTCTCATCTATCCAGACCTTCACGCCACCTGCTTTTTAAGCGCACTTTTTTGACTTGGTAGGGTTTAAGGTTTAGGGTCTAGGGTTGAGGGTTTAGGGTTTAGGATTTAGGGTTTAGGCTTTAGGGTTTAGGGTTTCGGGTTTCGGGTTTAGGGCCAGGCAGGGATTTGCAAAGGATGCGGAGGATGTTCCTTGATTTAGGCACCTTCCAGAGGCAGTTGTGGGCTTTATGATTTCAGTCTGGTTGCTTCCCTAAACCCTAAACCCTAAACCCTAAACCTAAACCCTATACCCTAAACCCTAAACCCTAAACCCTAGACATCCAACACGATGACCAGCCGGCAAGCAGCAATATAGGACTAGGGTTTACGGTTTGGGGTTTACGGCTTAGGGCTTAGGGTCTAGGGGTTTTTGGGGTTGTTGTGGTAGAAATCTATAGAGACCATAAGGGAATGCTCCGCGTAATTATTCGACCCCTGTATTGGGTTCATGCCCTTGGCTTGGGGAGGGGAACGTCCAGACATCGAAACCTGAAACCCACCAACAGCCGACATCACAAACCGCAGCTAGATGCAACTCAAGTTTGTTTATCGATTTTTGTTTGGGGGGGGGAGTGACGAAAATCATTTTTTCTTGGGGCTTGCGCAGGGTTTCGAGGAAAAAAACTCCTCAACCGTAAAGTCCCAGAGCCGTTCTTTGCTTCGCAGAGAGCCCAATATACCCCCCTAACTGAGGAATAGAGCTGAAACTCGTAATACGGACCGCACTAATTTCACGTTTTTTCCGCTAAGCCCTACCAGACTAAACCCTAAACCCCAAACCCTATACCCTCAACGTTTTGGTTGATACATTCCTTGATTGATTAAGGGATACTGGGCTCTCTGGTCCCACATTCTGCGAGGCGGCCAGCCTTTAAGGAGGCTGTCGCGACACAAGACCTGCCAGGCATCTAAACTCAAGGGAGCTAAACCCTAAACCCCAAACCCCAAACCCTAAACCACAAAGGGGCTAAGGGTTTAGGGTTTAGGGTTCGGGAATATGGATTATAGTACTTGGGGTATTTCAGGGTACCCTAAACCCTAACCCCTATTCTAGATATGAAGTCCTACCGTGAGTTCTGCGTTAGCTATGCTCTCCCGTTTGCCCACCTTCAGCAACCTGGGAAGGCTGGTCTGGGCTCAGTGTTCTTGGGGTTCAGCATCTCAAGTCCAAGCATTCACCAGCCCAGCTGCCAAGTGACGGAGAGCAAACCCACCCCCCACAGCATTAGGAAAGCATTTCACTTTACATTTCAAGCCAGCCTTCCTGTCCCCCCCCCCTTAAGCCCCCCTCTGGAACCATCATTTTAGGGTTCTTCAGGGAGGGGGGGGGGGTGTTCATGGGGGGGGTAGGTACCTAGGGAACCTTACAAAAGCTTAGGGAGCCTGAGGGAGTGATTATTGGGGAACCTTGGGTTACATACCCCCCCTTGAACCCCCCAAACCCTAAACCCTAAACCCTAAACCCCCCCTTAAGAACCCTATAACATCATCTGAAAAAACGTTGTAGCCCCACTGCAAAACCCTTCCAAGCACGCAGCTCCCGTGTCCCGCCTGAGCTGTCCTCGAGGGAACGTACAGCTTGACCTCCGCAGGCGGGTGCTGGCTTGGGTCTATATAGCCCGGAGACTCCAACACCCCTTAATGAAGGAAGATTCCTTCAACCAAATGAGGAACCCTGTTACATATTAAGGAATGCTCCTTAAATTAAGGGGTATTGGAGGTCCTGGGAGGGTGTAGGGTGTAAGGTGGCGGGCGTAGGGTTTAGGGTTTAGGGTTTAGGGTTTAGGGTTTAGGGTTTAGGGTTTAGGGTTTAGGGTTTAGGGTTTAGGGTTTAGGGTTTAGGGTTGAGGATGCAGCGAATAGGGTGTGGGGGTTAAGGTAGGGCTTAGGGGCTTAGGGTGCTGACGTGCGCCCGCAACATTGCCTGAACGCCCGCAGTTCAGGGTTTAAGTTCAGGGGCCCTAAGCCCTAAGCCCTAAGCCCTAAGCCCTAAGCCCTAAGCCCTGAGCCCTGAGCCCTGAGCCCCAAGCCCGGAGCCCTAAACCCCAAACCCGAAACCCTAAACCCTAAATCCTGAGCGCTACCGAAGTCCCAGAACGCACTGTGTGGCCATCCTCACCACTGCCGGGAGAAGCCGAACAACTTGGGCTCGGGCGGAGTGATTGCGATTGTGCGTGCCGTGCCTGGGTTTAGGGTTTAGGGTTCAGGGTTTGGGGTTTAGGGATTAGGGTTTGGAGTTTAGGGTTTCACCACTTCGCCTGTTGGTCCCGTGATGCTTGTGATTGCTTGGAGGCTTAGAGTTGGGTAGAAGTAGGCTTTTGAGATTGGCAACTCTACTCGTAACAATATCTAGAGTACTTACAGCCTATTGATAACTACCCGTGCACCCTCCATGCATGATACATCTACTGTGAAGATTTGTCTGTCCAATGCTACAGTCATTCCAAATTGGGAGTCATCGTAGTGGTAGTGCCCAGAGACTCCAATACCCCTTGTTTAAGGAACATTTCTTGAACTATAAAAGGAACCCTCTTCTGGATTAACGAATATCACTAAGCCCTAAACCCTAGACCCTAAACAATAATCTCTAAGGGAGTATTCCTTTACTAGGGGGCATTGGAGTCTTTCCTTAATTCAGGAACATTCCTTAAACCATATAAGGAACCCTCGTCACCCTAAACCCTAAACCCTAAACCCTAAACCCTAAACCCTAAACCGGAACCCGAAACCCGAAACACAAAACAGTAGTGGTAGTGGTCAGTCAGCCCTTCTGAGCTCGCGCGCTGCGGAGGGAATGGATTTCCGTGGCCATACTCAAGGCGCTGGTGGCCTCCAAACCGGCCCTGGCAGATGGGGGTTTAGGGTTAGGGTTTAGGGTTTGGGGTTTAGGGCTTAGGGCTTAGGGTTTAGGGTTTAGGGTTTAGGGTTTAGGGTGCTGAGCAAACAGTCTAAGAAATATTCAACATACCGCCTTTGGCATTCCCTTCACAGAAATCAAGGGGTATGGTAAAATCCTGCCTCACATGCAGCTTTGTAGGTTGAGGGTTATAGGTTTGGGGTATGTTGAATTGTTCTTAGAAACAACATCAATCAAGTTACTTGAATAGCAAAAAGGAGTGACATCTGGTCGGCCGGGAGATAAGCACTTGTGTCCAGTGAACTTCACGCCAAAAGTCTTACGTTGCGATCTGAAACCGACGCCACAGCATGGTCGGGTTTAGGGTTCAGGGTTCAGGGTTTAGGGTTAGGGTTACCCGATTTCCAACTGCCTCATCTGTGTCCAGAACACATCGCATGGGCTCGTTCCAGCAGCAACCCAGCTGGTAGCCTTCGTAGCCTTTCACAGCAACTTATATGAAACAGGGTTTATATGACTGTTACTGGTGAGTGTATACAAGGTTCCTGTTTAATGTTGGTGAGTGTATATGCTTGGTGTCCTTTTGGGGATACGAGAAATATTATCCTACTTCACATGAAGGCTAAATCTCAGCATCTTCTTCGAGGGTCCGCAATCAAAACGCCCTTGACGGACATGTTGCTAGCGCTAAGTCTCTTTCTGCTATCACGCGGGCAACCTATATTTTGTGTCCATACGTACATATATTGTGTGTCGGTTAGAGCCAAATCAATGTTAAATATTGTGTATATATATATATATGCAACAAAAGGATATATACAGATGTACACATGTACAGCAACATTTAGGCGAGCACTGGCACAACGGCGGCTGCCTAGGCAAGCCGGAAGCAAACACTCAGAATCGCCCTTCTAAGAGTTGTTACAAATAGTATTCCCTAACGGCCCTCTATAAATATACTATAATAACCCCCAAAATCCTGTTCTAATTGTTAAAGCCCCTATATATATATATATATGCTCATATTAATATATATGTATTTGTATATATCTATGTGAAGATTTTGGAAACTTCGGACAGCTCCCATTTCATGTCAGCGACTTTACTCCCAAGTCCCCAATGCCCTGCATGCGACCATCCAACATGCGCAGCGATTCCTCATAGCCCTGAACCCACAAGGCCCAATACCCCTGTAGGGTTTGGGGTATAGGGCTTAGGGTGGGGTTTAGGGTTTAGGGTTTAGGGTTTAGGATTAGGGTTTAGGGCTTAGGGTTTAGGGGTTAGGGTTTAGGGCTTTGGGCTTAACTAGGGCTTATAGGGTTTAAGGTTTCCAATGCTTAGGGTTTGTGCCCCTTAGTTCCTAGCAACAACCCATAGAGTTTAAGGTCCGCAGCCTTAAGTAAGGAGTCTTGGTTCTCTTGGAAACCTCTCTCGGTAGCCCAGTAACCATATTAAAATAAAGGTGCCCTTTGAAGGGGGTTGGGTACTTAAGGGGGCCTTGAACCCGAAAGAAGGGAGAAGGGGTACCACTGGGCTACCAAGCTAAGTCGGGTTCTTGGGGATGCTCGTCGAACCCTAAACCCTAAACCCTAAACCCTAAACCCTAAACCCTAAACCCTAAACCCTAAACCCTAAGCCCTAAGCCCTAAGCCCTAAACCCTAAACCCGAAATTTTGCTGGCAAGGAGCTATTGCATGGGTGGAAGTTGAAGATGAACAGCAAGTCGCCTCGCTCGAAGACAATGACCTTGTCCTCGCCGTGCTTCAGCGTGACATACCTCACGTCTCATGAGGATGTAGAACAGGGTCTTTTTTTCTACCACTTGCTAAAGAAACACCCAAAATATATATGAAGAATAGCAACTCCTTTATTGCCCTAATCGGAATATTACTTTTTGGGGGGGTGGTTCTGCAGCAAATGTAGTTCTGAGCAGATCCCTTTCTGAACCTCCTACACCCTAACCCCGAAACCCTCAACCCTAAACCCTCATCCCTAAACCCTAAACCCTATACCCGAAGCCCAAAAAAGTTTAGGGTTGAAAGGCAAAAGGAGGGTCACCTAACCGAATCGCTACCGGAATCAGGGTTTAAGAGGGTCGGGGTTTCGGGGTTGCAGTTTAGGGAGCATTTAGGGTTTAGGGTTTAGGGTTTAGGGTTTAGGGTTTAGGGTTTAGGGTTTAGGGTTTAGGGTCAAGCCAGGTCGCTGATGTGGTGAAGCCAGATACTGAAATCGGTTCTCAAGCGCGTTCATCAGCTCATCGAAATTCTGGAAGAACTTGTACCTTGGGAGCCGCAGACAGGGTTTTGGGATTAGGTTGAAGTGAAAACGTCCGAATTTGCGCGGTAATCAGTCCATACCACGAGACCTGCGCCCACTTTAGTACAGGTTCGCATCGCGTGCGCTGCGCCTCAGTTAGACTAGGCGGCAGCCCCCGAATGACTGCAACCATGAATCCTTAACCCGAACCCCTACTCTAAACCCTAAACCCTAAACCCTGAATCCCAGGATTCCGTAGCAGAAGCCTCTAAAAGTCGAAGACTCTGAAGAACCCCAAGTCCATGAACCGCAATGCATCCACTACCGATGAAGCCCAAGCCCACGAACTTCCCCTTAGGGTTTAGGGTTTAGGGTTTAGGGTTTAGGGTTTAGGGTTTAGGGTTTAGGGTTTAGGGTTTAGGGTTCATTCGCATGTACACCAATTTACATTTACCCGTAAAGATAGTTTTCAAAGAGCTTGCAAAAAATGATGAACATGATAAGAAAACCAAAACTGGTATGTGCTCTTCGATGCCAGCAGCTCCAGATCCTAAACCCTAACCCCCAACCCGAGCCCTAAACCCTAAACCCTAAATCCTGAACCCCGAACCCTAAACCCGAAGCCTAAACCCTAAACCCTAAACCCTAAACCCTAAACCTGAAACCCGAAACCCGAAACCCTAAACCCTAAACCCAAAGGCGAAGACGCCTCAGCAGGTCATCCTCGGGCAGGTCGAAGCGACGCCTGCAGACGGCGCGTTTGCAGGGCGCGCCCGGGCCGACCCATCGTTTAGGGTTTAGGGTTTAGGGTTTAGGGTTTAGGGTTTGGGGTTTGGGGTTTAGGGTTTAGGGTTTAGGGTTGAGGGGTTTAAAGGGTAGAGGGAGGGGCCCCCTCGAAGGGACCGTTAATCTTCTATTCCCCTATATGAGCCATAGATAACCCCTATATATTCACCTTATATAGTCCCTATGTACCTAAACCCCAAAAGGTCCGAAGGGTCCCTCCTTTAGTCCCTTGAGTGTCCCTTATCCAGAGGTTGTATCTTAGGGTTACGTGGTCCTTCAAATATGGGCCCTTAAAAGGGTCCCCCTTACATACCCTATACAACCTAAGGGCCCATAGTTCAGGACGCTAAGAAGGAAGTCGACCACGATTTCGTATCGAAAGATGGAGCACAAAGTGATAGACTTTAGTCGCGATGTGAGAATGTTCGAACGAACGTATACACGTGCATGTATTCCATGATGCGCGCTGGTCTTGGAAAATCCTAAGCCCTAAACCGTACATCCTAAACCCTAAACCCTAAACCCTAAACTTCCAAAACCCTAAACCCCAACCGCACGCAAAAAAAAAAAAAAAACATGCCTTGTCGACCTCCGATACCGGCAAGAGGCTCCATTCGAAGGAAAGCCCAGTTAGAGAAGGTCTCTTTGCAGCAGCGGCTTCCTCCCCCTAGAAACCCTATGAACCCTCAACCCTAGAAACCCTGTAAACCCCTAACGCCTAAACCCGAAACCCTAAAACCCTGAACCCCTAAACCCCTAAGCCCTAAACCCTAACCCCTAAACCCCCAAACCCTAAACCCCAAGCTCATAAACCCTGTAAGCCTCAGCTTTAAGCTCGAAACCCCCGTCTGCCAAACCGCAAAGGATGCGGCTTGCCCCGAAGCCGTGGAACTGAAGACCCTGCACCAAAAAAAAGAATTTAGGGTTTAGGGGTCAGGGTTTAGGGGTTACGGCTTCGGGTGTCGGATCTACATATGCGAGTTTAGGGTTTTAGGGTTCCTAAGCGCTTGGGGGCTTACTTAGCCCCTAAACTCTAAGCCCTAAAAGCCGATTCCTAGGGCCCGCGAGCCCACAATCTGCCTGGTGTGAACCCTGAACCCTGAACCCTAAACCCTATTCCCTAAACCCCAAGCTGCCTGCAGTGGTGGTGGCTCCAGCCGTTCTCCGGCCGGGGGAAATCCACCCACTCAGGGTGGCCGAACCTCGGTTTAGGGTTTAGGGTTTAGGGTTTAGGGTTTAGAGCACATAGCATTGGCGAGATTGTTGGGGGTTTTGGGTTCTAGGGCTGAAGGGCTGCTGTGGGTGCTCAGCCTAAGACAGCAGCCCCGGCCCCAAGGGACGCGCAAGGGCCTAGGGTTCTCAAGGGACAACAGGAGTGAACTCTAGAACAGACCCTCAGCTTACTTACCCTAAACCCTAAACGCTAATTCCCTAAACCCTGGTTCCTTAAAAGCTATTCCCTGCTTTGGGCCCTTAAGGTTCAGGGCTTAAGGTTATTATTTTTCCTTGGAGGCTCACAGTCCACAAGTCTTTGCACAATGCAGCTGAGAGGCTCGTTGCCCATGAAATTGAGGTAGCCCTCGCCTGCTTAGGGTTTACGGTTTACGGTTTACGGTTTAGGGTTTAGGGTTTAGGGTTTAGGGTTTAGGGTTTAGGGGTTGGGGGTTTGGGGTTTAGGGTCTAGGGCTTAGGGCCTTCAAGACTCTTGAAGAGTTGACTGACCGGACGAGGGGTCAGAAGGTTTTCCTCAAGGGTTTAGTCCCTTCCCCCTGATATTAAACCCCCCCCCTACCCCCTAATATTATATACCCCCCCCCTTCCCCTTATGGTCATATTATCCGCCGACCCCAGCAACAGCGGGGCGGCGTCAGTGAAGACCCTCCCTGCCCTCAGCAACCTCTTCCCCCTTCCCCTTCCCAACCATTCCACTCCACCTCTCCACTTGGCCTTGCCTTCTGCCCCTAACCTCCCACCACCAACCCCTTCCCCTGCCCCCCCTCCCACTACCCTTCCCCTTCCCAACCATTCCACTCCATCCCCCTCCCCTACCCCTTCCCCATCCCTGCCCCCCCTCTCACCGTACCCCCAATCCACCCACCACCAACCCCTTCCCCCCCCTAACCCTCCCACCACCAGCCCTCCATCCTCCTCCCCTACCCCTTCCCCACCCCCAATCCACCCTTCTCCAGCCACTCACCTCATCTCCTCCACCTACCCTCCTCCCCCCCACTCCCACCACCACCCCTTCCCCTTGCCCCTCCCACTATCCCAACCATTCCACTCCATCCTCCTCCCCTACCCCTTCCCCCATTCCACTCCATCCTCCTCCCCTACCCCTTCCCCATCCCTTCCCCCCCTCTCACTCCACACCACCAACCACTTTACCTCATCTCCTCCACCAACCCCCCTCCCCCACTCCCACCACCAACCCCTTCCCCTGCCCCCCGCTCCCCACCACCCTTCCCCTTCCACTCCACCCCTCTCCCGCCTGCTCCGCCCCGCTGTTTCACCGCTCCCCTTACTCCACCCCTGCCTTCCACCCCCCAACTCCCCAATCCTACGCACCCCCCACCCCCCCCACCCTCCCTGGGGCGGTGGGGCTGGGGGGGTGGGGCTGGGGCTGGGTGGGGGCTGGCTCCACCCCTATGCCAGGCTCAGGCCATGTGACGGTGCCCTGGCCCTGTGCCGACTGGCTCATGGCCCCCGTTTTACGGGCCTCTGGCCCTTTGCCTGACTCGATCAGATGACTGACTTTTTTTTCTAGGGCTCCAGTGCATGCCCGCCCCCTCCACCCGCTCCGTTTGCTCCGCCCTTCCTCCCACCCCCCCCTGCCCCTTCCCAACCATTCACTTCCACCCCCATCCCGCTCTCCCCCTTGCCCCCGCCCCCGACCGCTCCCCTTCCCGGTCGGCACCCCCTCCCCCCCCCCCCCCCCCCCCCCACCCCCTTCCCCATGCAGGCCTACCCTCTCCCGCCTACTCCGCCCCTCACCGATCTCTGCTGTTTCAGGGCAATCCACGCCGATCAGCTGACTCACTTCCCTCACCATCACCGTCCCCCCAACCCCCCCCCCTGGCCAGCTGGATATGGCCCCCAATGGCTCCATGCCCTTGATGGTCCCCTGGCCCTGTGCCTACTGGCTCATGGCCCCACAGTTTCACGGGCCTCTGGCCCTTTGCCTCCCCCAGACTCGATCAGATGACTGACTTTAAACCGCTCCGCTTGCTCCGCCCTTCCCCCCCCCCCCCCCCCCCCCCCCCCCCCCCCCCCCCCCCCCCCCCCCCCCCCCCCCCCCCCCCCCCCCCCCCCCCCCCCCCCCCCCCCCCCCACCCCCCACCTTGGAAAATTTGGGGTCGGCGGCACTGGCGGTAGCCATTAAATCGGGCAGCGCGAGGTCCCCAAAGGACCGAGCAAATGCGGACCTTTTAGCCCGGGTCGTCCCGGGAATAGCCTTGCTGGCCTCTGGCCTTCTGCGAAGCAGAATTAGGCCGGACGCCAGTGCCGCCGACCCCCGCGTGCCGCCGGTGAACGGTTTTTTTTTTTCGTGGTTTTTTGCGTCGCCACGGAGGCCCCCAGAGGGCGCGCATCATGAGCATCAGCGGGTCCAGCCCGGGACCCCCAGGCGCGCATCAGGAGCATCAGCGGCTCCCGGGGTGGGACCCCGGGGGCGCATCAGGAGCATGATGCCCCCCAAAGGGCGGGCATAAGCGACGTGTCTAAGCCCGGGGCTGGAAAAGGGGAGTTTAGGGGCCTTATAAAGTGCTTAGAAACGTTAAGGGAGTCTAGGAGCCTCAAACGCTTAGAGATTTGAAGGGAGTTTAGGGGCCTGAAAATGCTTAGAAACTTAACGCTTAGAGATTTTAAGGGAGTTTAGGGGCCTCAACATGCTTAGAAACTGCTCGCCCCGGGCTTCTGCGTGCGCTGCCCGCCCATGGGCGCAGCCCCTTAAAATAGTATATGGGGGGGGTAATATTAATATTGGGGGGTAGGGGGGGTTGGGGGGTAATTAATATTGGGGGGTAGGGGGGGGTTGAATATTACAGGGAAGGGTTCAAGAGGGCCTTTGCAAGAAAAGGTGCCGAGGCTGTACTACGACCCAGAAGCCTTCCCCCCACGACAGCCGCAACTCCTGCGGGCTTAGGGCCTAAACCCTAAACCCTAAACCCTAAACCCTAAACCCTAAACCCTAAACCCTAAACCCTAAACCCTAAACCCTAAACCCTAAACCCTAAACCCTAAACCCTAAACCCCGGCCAGAACACGCAGCGGGCACGGAATGAAACGGCCCAAGCCAGCTCCCCCAACATCTACAGAGGAGCTAAGTTGTCAGCCGTTTAGGGATTTAGAACAGTCCACGGTGGGTTGAATGAGATGTTACGTACTGGCTCTGAATAGGAATTTAGGGCTTTAAGGGTTGAGGAACAATACATTACCTATATTCTATACCTATGTGACCCTCCAAGGGGCTCCAAGCCCTAAACACCAAAACCCGAAACCCAAAACCCTAAACCCAAAACCCAGAACCCTAAACCCCAAACTCTAAACCCTAAACCCCAAACCCCAAACTCTAAACCCTAAACCCTACACCCTAAACCCCAAACCCTACACTACAGGCCTCCAAGACCCTGCACCAGCAGGCGGATCATCTTGTGCCTCGGGTTGCTCTGATTAGAGTTTAGGGTTTGGGGTTTGGGGGTTTTGGGGATTTGGGGTGTTAGGGTTTAGGGCTAGGGTTTAGGGTTTGGGGGTTTAGGGTTTAGGGACTAGGGTTTCGAACATAGGGTGCTGAGCTGGTTGCCTCAAGCTGCTGCGGTTTAAGGTTCAGGGTTCAGGGTTCGGGCACATGTTTGGTCGCGATCACAGATTTGGAAACCAAACGCTGCATGTCATTGTAGAGGGTATGGGTGAGAGCGGTGAGGGCGGTCAGAACGGTGAGGGCGGTGAGGGCGGCGGGGGTTTGGCATTGCACTGGAGCCCTTAAAACACTGCGTGTCAAGGTCGAAGGTATGGGTGAGGGCAGTGAGAGTTGTAAGGTAGAATCGTCTATCCGCCGACCCTGGCGGCGTGTTGGATGGGTTTCTGGCGCTAAAACCTCCCTCTTTCTCAAAACGCGGGGGGGGGGGGGGGGGGGTAGGGGGGGGTACCCCGGCAGCGTTTCTGTGGAGGAACAGAGGCCACCCGTAAACTCATGGACCATAGGCGGTTTCGCACAGGGCATAGGGGCTCTTTTGGAAAAAACCCCCCCCTTACCCCCCCCCACCTCCCCCCCGCCAAAGCCTCTTAACTCAGGGTTGCGGCTTTAAGGGGGTTTGAGGGCCCCACACCCTAAACCGTATACATTCAAAGTCCGAAACCCTAAACCCTAAACCCTGAACCCTAAACCCTAAACCCTAGTTTTGATACTATCTGTTGTAGAAAGCCCAAGTTGCAGCGCCAGTCCGCGATCCACTGGCATGGTGTGGTGCGGAGTCTGCAAGATGCCTCATTCCCCAACCCCGATGCAAGAGTTGTAGAATATGGGGTTTAGGGTTTAGGGTCTAGGATTTAGGGTTTAGGGTTTACGGCTTGGGGGGGGGCGGGGGGTGGCTTGGGGTTTGGGGATTTCTGCTGCTACCTGCGCCCCTAGACCAAGGACCTTCAGTCCAAAATCCACCCTTATCCTTAAACCCTAAGGTACTGGGGAGGGGGGGGGGGGGGGGGGGGGGGGGGGCAGGAGTCGTGGTGCAAAGAACAATGAAAAGAAGATGCAAGTAGTATACCCAGCATACGTATCAGTAGTGGCGGTGGTGGTGAAAGTAGCAATAACAATAACAAGAACAAAAACAATAACAAAAACAAATAATAATAATAATAATAATAATAGTACTTATAGTACTAATAATAACAATGATAAGAATAATAAGAAGAAGAAGAGTAATAATAATAACAATAATAATAATAATAACAGTGCTTGGTAATGATAGTACTAGAAATGACAGTCGCAGGGATAGTAGTACCGGGATAGTAGTAACGATAGTAGCAATGATCGTAGCAATGAGAGTTGTAGTAGTAGCCGTTGTCGTAGTAGTAGTGGCAGTGGCATTGGTGCTACAGCGACTGCAGCTTCTTCTATCACTGACCTACCAAGTGTCCTGCTGCGCTTCGACAGAACCACTCCAGCGCAGCAACACGAGCTCACACCGCCAACACCGCCACCACTGCTGTTCATACCACCACCACTAGTTTTTACCCAGAGGTGCTAGACGTTCCTCAGCACAGCTGACAAGTATCTAACTGATTTAACAGGGTGTTTGTCTTGCAGCTCCAGTTTTGAGTCCAGGTGGCTCATGTCTGTGTACATTGCCGCATCCATCAGCCAGAATGCAATGGTCTTGTCACCGACCTCGTGGCACGGTTCTTTCTGAGCAACCTGGGTGCCTGTCGGGACCTGTTTAGGGTTCAGGTTCAGGGTTTAGGGTTCAGGGTTTAGGGCATTGGGTCCAGGGTTTAGGGCTTAGGGCTTCGGGTGGGTTGTCGACTTTTTGGGCAGGCATGGCATTGAGAGATGGACAAATTCCGTACTAAGCGAGCCATGACAAGATTCAACCACGCGTGCAAACTGTGTGCCCTGCAACCCTAAACCCTATTTAAACCCTACACCCTACACCCTACACCTTACACCCTAAACCCTAAACCCTAAACCCTAAACCCTAAACCCTAAACCCTAAACCCGAAACCCTAACCATGTGCACCAACTCGCGCTCCCTGCGCAACCGCTGCAGCTTGCTGAAATCTCAGGGCACGGCAATGGCTTGGTCGTGAGACTCAGCATAAGCAACCACCTGACACTGCGTTTAGGGCTTGGGGTTTAATCAGGGTTTGGGGTTTAGGGTTTAGGGTTTAAGGGTTAAGGGTTTAGGGTTTAATTAGGGTTTAAATAGGGTTTAGGGTTTATCTGGTGCCCCGCAACACTTCCGAAGACTGTGCTCTTCGTTCACGTGTGGGAGTGTGCTGGTTTATCGAAGAATGTCCAAATGTCACGACAACTCCGCGTTCGACAAATCTTCGACAGGACTAGCTGATTCTTAAACCCTAAACCCTAAACCCTCAACCCTAAACCCTAAACCCTAAACCCTAAACCCCAAGCCCACCTTCTCCAGGTGGCGCCTGTTTGTCAGCCTCGGCGTGGGTTCTCAGTGTTGTCCTCAAAGAGCCCAATAACCCCTAACTAAGAAATAGTGCCTATATAAATCATGCCAAGGATCCCTATCTAGCTGAAGGGTATATTCCTAAACCCTAAACCCTAAACCCTAAACCCTAAACCCTAAACCCTAAACCCGAAACCCGAAACCCTAAGGATGCCTATAAGTAAAAATATAGCCTAATTAAGGTATTGCGCGGGCTCTCTGGGTCCAATCTGGCAGCGTCTGCTTGGGCAGACAAGACATCACGGTTTTGGTTTAGGGTTTAGGGTATGTAGGGTTTAGGGTTTAGGGTTTAGGGTTTAGGGTTTAGGGTTTAGGGTTTAGGGTTTAGGGCTTAGGGTTTAGGGTTTAGGGTTACAAACTCCTTGGAGGGGCGTCTTAAACAAACCGTAGGTATCGCTTGAGAGTACGAACATGCCATAGCTCAGCCATTGCGACAGCAACATTGGCTGCAGCAAAATTAGCTGCATCACGGTTTAGGGTTTAGGGTTTAGGGTTTAGGGTTTAGGGTTTGGGGTTTAGGGTTTAGGGTCTAGGGCGCCGAGACACGTGTAGCAGATGTGGCCCATATCCCAACCATCGTCGCCCACTTCCTTGCGTGAGCTCCGCAATTGCCGAAGTCTAGGCCTAAACCTTAAAACGCCTCAACCCCGAACCCTATGAACTGACCCACACAAAGCCCTCAGAGCCAATACTTCACTAGCGCAAAACACCTCCCAAAAACCCTCATGGCTTTGGCTTCACAACTCTATATCCTAAACCCCAAACCCTAAACCCTAAACCCTAAACCCCCCCCCCCCCTGCCCACCCTTCGGCAGGAATCACAAAGCGCTTGCGGGCCTTCAGCAGCTTGATGAACATGTCCGGGATAGCCATGGCCAGGCCTCATTTGGCTCCACTACTACAATCATTCCCAAACAGGGTTTAGGGTTTAGGGTTTAGGGTTTAGGGTTTAGGGTTCAGGGTCTAGGGTCGTGTGACATTTGGCAAGGCAGCAATTTATACACCGAGTCCTCAACCACAACACGGAATCTCCGACGGTAGCTCCCACTCAGACCCACCGCCCACCACCCACCCACACTCTGGAGCGAGACTTGGGGTTTAGGGTTTAGGGTCTGGGGGCGGGGGGGGGGCCCTACTAAAGGGGACAACATACTGCTCTCTCTTCAGGCGAGCTGCGGTAGTCGAAGCCGAAGCCGCCATACTCCACAGGAAGGCCAATCGTGGGCATGCCGCTGACATCCTGCGAAGCGGTTCCAAGAAGATAGAGCATGACAAATGTTCCCGCCTATACTAACAGTCCGAAAAAAAGGGATTATAGCAGGGGTACTAGAATCTCCATTAAGGACTGTCAGTATACGGGGGAGCATCCCAAAAGATAGAACATGCCAAAGCCAATCGTAAGCACACTCCTCTGCGACCGTGATCGCGGACGGAACCTTGAAGCGGGGCAGCCATGTGAGTGGTTCTCTAAATTCATCAGGTCCTTTTGTGGGTATAAACACTTTATATAAGGCTCTGTACTAAACATAGGAATCCCAACAGGAGCCATGATCAACACGTTACATATATATGTACATATATATATATATAGAGGCTTGTGCAATCATACAACATGATAAACCAGTACAACCCGTTGCATTGCATGATCTGACCCCAAACCCTAAACCCTTGCTACTCATTGGTCTTCTGCACCTCCCTACACCCTAAACCTTAAACCCCAAACCCTGACCCGCACCAGCAAGGATTCTGGCACCCTAAACCCTAAACCCTAAACCCTAAACCCTAAACCATAAACCCTAAACCCTAAACCCTAAACCCTAAACCCTACTTTGGGGCTTTGGGACCCTTTCTCTCCGTCGAAAATGGAACCTCACTTCCCAACTCGCAGGCTGTCCGGCTTGAGGGCTTCTTAGGGTTGATATAGGGAATAATTTAGGGCTTAGGGTTTAGGGTTTTGGGGTTCAGCGTTTAACTATGGTTTGGGGTTTTAGGGTTTTAGGGTTTTAGGGTTTTAGGGTTTTAGGGTTTTAGGGTTTTAGGGTTTTAGGGTTTTAGGGTTTTAGGGTTTTAGGGTTTTAGGGTTTTAGTTTTAGGGTTTTCGGATTCAGGGCTGCGAGTTACCATGTTCACGCCTAGCAGGCTCCGCAGGCTGGATTTTTCGAAGTCCCGGTTTAGGGCTTAGGGCTTAGGGCTTAGGGTTTAGGGTTTCGGGTTCAGGGTACTTAAGACCCTAATTATAACTGTACTCATATGCCCCCCAAGTCCCCTAAGTAGGCTATAAGTAGACTTATAACTGTGGTTATAAGTACCCATGAACCTCCCAGTAGCCCCAAATTTGGAGGAGACCCTTGTTTGCTTCGTGGGGCTAAGGGAACTTGGCCAAATAAGGGTACTTGTGGGCCCGAGACCAGCACAAAGGGTTTAGGGTTTAGGGTTTCGGCCTTCGGGGTGGCAGTTTCCGACCAACGTGCTCAACCCGAAGACCGAGATCGGCTAAGGTGCCACGGTGTGGATGAGGTCGTTGGACAACATGAGGTAGATGTGGCTGTCAATGTCCGCATCTGGGCCGAAGTACTCGTGGTAACCGCCGGTGTAGCCCTTGCCAATGCCTCAGGTCAGCTGGGCGAATATTGCGTACATGGGTTTAGGGCAAGGGATTTAAGGCGTTAGAGGGACTCCAGCCATAGCCTGATAGCGTAAACAAATATAGTGTCAGGTTTAGGGTTTAGGGTCTAGGGTTTAGGGCTTAGGGTTTAGGGCCCCTCTGCCAGCGAGACTCCATGAGAGTGGTACAACATCGAGGTGATGCCATCAAAACGGAAGCCGTCAAACTGGTACTCCTCACAGGGTCTGCATATTGCTGCGGTTTAGGGTGTAGCTTTTGGCGGTTCATGAGTATAAATAGCGCTATAAGTACCCGAAGTGGGGATATGCGTGGGGTTACCATCTACTTATCACAACCCATGAACCTCCAAGTGTGAACCCTAAACCCGAAAGCAAGCATGTTTCTTCATCCGCAGTTGATGACTCGTGTGGCAGGGGCCTTTAAAAACCATGGCATATCATAAGAGGCAAAAAAAAACGCGCATTCCAGTCCCTCCAACCTAAATCCTGAATTTGAGAGGGCTTTGGCTTCAGGATTGCATTGGATAGCTTATCATAGACCCTGAACCCTAAAACCTAAAGGCCCTAAACCGGAACAGAATCTTTAGAAGCCGACAACGTTGGCAAGGTTTTGGGCTCCTGAGCTTCCTACAGGGCACAGATTTTGGGTTTCGGGGGGGGGGGGGGGGGCTTCGGGAATCAATCCCTAAGCCCTAAACCCTAAACCCTGAACATTAAACCCTAAACTTTAAACCCTAAACCCTAAACCCTGGGTGTCCTCCAGCCACCACTTGACATTTGAGAGCAAGAAGCGGAGCACCTGCACAGAATTACAGGGGAAGCCAGGCGTGCCACATGGCCCCAGATGGGCTTAGGCCCGTAGGGTTAGGGTTTAAGGGCTTAAGGGTTTAAGGATCTAGGGTCTAGGGCTAAGGGTTTAAGGGTTTAAGGGTTTAAGGGTTTAAGGGTTTAAGGGTTTAAGGGTTTAAGGGTTTCAGGGTTTGAGGGTTTGAGGGTTTCAGGGTTTCAGGGTTTCGGGGTTTGAGGGTTTCGGGTTCTCTGCCGAACTCCCCTCCCTACAGTTCAGGGTACCAAGAAGGGATCATGACTTAAAGCAGACTCCCAGATGGGAGCAGCACAGGAGTACGACCCTAAACCCTAAACCCTAAACCCTAAACCCTAAACCCTAAACCCTAAACCCTAAACCCTAAACCCTAAACCTAAACCCTAAACCCTAAACCCTAAACCCTGAACCCTGAACCCTAAACCCTAAACCCTAAACCCTAAACCCTAAACCCAACCCCACACCCTGGACCCTAAACGGCAGCCTCGTACTTCAGGTAGTTGAAGATCTTCCTTGCCCGGAGGCCAAGTGGGGCTGAGGGTCTTCACCCTTCACAAAGGGAAGTAGGCCTTAACACAACACCTTCAGCAGGGTTCAGGGTTTGGGGTTTAAGGTTTCGGGTTTAGGGCTTAGGGTTTAGGGCACAAGCCCCGTAATAGAGGGGCCTTAAGAATTGGAATAGGGTTTTGAGTGCTTAGTGTAATGGAATTATGCAGCGGCCATAAGGGACTACAGGGACTACGATGAATAATCATTCCGACCCTATACTACTACTTGCTTCAGAACCAGCCAAGCATAATAATCTTCCTCATAAGGGTAGGTAATATAGGGAGTACTATCTCTGTTTTTTCTTTTTTTGGGGGGGTTCTTAAACAAATAGTAGTATCGTCTACAGCAGCATATGTGGTAGGTTCCCTTTCGCGGGGTGGACATTCCTGTCTGTAAGAGCTCTTGAGCCCCTTGGGCGAAGAACTTTGGGGGGACCGGGAGCCACAACACTGCAGAGGGTGTAGAACCCTAAACACGAAGCTAGATAGGGTTTAGGGTTTAGGTTTCAGGGTTTGGACTAAGGGTTCAGGGCTTAGGGGGTCCGGATTTAGGGTGTACCGGACTTGGACTGTAGGAGAGCGCAGGGCTTCGGATTTCCGAAGCCACGAGGAAGTCTCTGAAGAAAAGGTGGCAAGCCCTTAAGAGTCTCATCCTCCGGTGCCTGCTGTAAGACCTCAACCCTAAACCCTAAACCCTAAACCCAGAAACCCCCCAGAGGTCGAGAGGTCCCGAGCTCGTTTCTTTCTCGGGTGCCGCGGCATAGGGTTTAATTGGGGTTCAGGGTCTAGGGTTTAGGGTATGATGGTTGTCGGTGTATGTATTATATACCATATACACATATACATATATATATATATATACCATATATATATATATCTCTATAAAAGTGGGTCTAGGGTCTAGGGTCTAGGTTCTAGGGTCTAGGGCTTGTCAGGGCTGCGAGGATGGTTTAAGGTTTTGGGCTCAAGCCCAAGCCCTACACCCTAAACCCTAAGCCCCAAATAAGCCCTAAGCCTAGAATCAAGAAGTGCAACCAAGCGTCGAGTCCCATTCGCTGTGATGTCCCTTGGGTCCTGTCATCTGGTGTATGGTGGGGCTCTGGCCTTCTACCGGGCTCTGGAACCTGAGTCTAAACCATGAACCCCTAAACCCCAATTAAATCCTAAACCCATACGTGTACCACCAAAAGGGATATGGTAAAGAGAACGAAACCCGAAACCGTAAACCTCGTAGACCGCTAGACCCCTAGACTCCTAGACCCTAAACCCCTAAACCCCCCCCAACCCCTAACAACCCCTAAACCGCTAAACCCCCAAACGGCTAAACCCCCTAAACCCCAAACCCCTAAACCGCATACACTACTAACCGCAAACCGAGAGCTTATACCGGACGAGAACCCCAACAGCCACCCAACCATGTCCCGCAAAGCTTAAGGCGTCGGATTTAAGGGTGTAGGATTTGGAGCTTAAGGTTTAGGGTTTGGGGGTTTGGGGTTTGGGGTTTGGGGTTTAGAACTTCGGGTTTAATTTAGGGTCAGGGGTTTAGGATTGAGGGCTGAAGGTTTAGGGTTTCGAACAGGCAAGGGCCCCTACACCCCTCATGCCTTCACCCCACCCCCCACCCGCCCCAAAAAACAAACCAAATCGAGTCCCTCCCCGCACTCAAAGACGGCCATGCCCTCCTCATTCAGGTTTAGAGTTTAGGATTCTAAACACCCCCTAAACCCCGAAATACCCCTAAGTACACCAAATCCCCTGAATACCTACACCCCGAAACCAGTACATGCCCTAAGTAACCCACATCTATCATGCTCGGGGCTTCCGGAAAAAAAGGTCCTTAGGGTTCTTCGAGCCTTTTCGGGCTTTTACCGGTTTCCTGGAAAAATTGGATCTTCATGGTTTCTAGGACTTTAGGGTTCCGGGTTTAAACAAAGCAGTGTCCTCCGTGCGTGTAGCCTTGGCACATCGCGGAGGGTGCTGGGCTTTGGGTTTACGGTTTAGGGTTTAGGGTTTAGGGTTTCGGGTTGTCTGCAGAACTTGCGCTAACAGCGTTGGTCTGTTCACCTTGCCAAACGATGCCTACCACAAAGTGCCTGCACCATGGAGCGACGAGCGCAGTCCCGATACCCAACAAGGAAGCTGGCGTAATGCCCAAAACCCCAAACCCCAAAACCCCAATCCCCAAACCCCAAACCCCAAAACCCCAAAACCCCAAAACCCCAAACCCCAAACCTTAAACCCCAAAACCCAAAACCCTAAACCCCAAAAACCCCCCCCCAACCAAGCTGCAGTGGTCGGTTCCATCCATCTGCGCGATCCCATCCAGGGTGTTGGAGGAGGCGTGGGCATGGACGAGGTCCATGAGCACGTGGATCCCAAGGCCTCACCAAGTTTAGGGTTTAGGTTTAGGGTTTAGGGTTTAGGGTTTGGGGTTTGGGGTTTGGGGTTTAGGGTTCAGGGTTTGGGGTGTGGGGTCAAGGATTTTAGGGTTTAGGATTTAGGGTTCAGGGTTTAGGGCCCTTAAGGCAATGAAGGCAGCTTGATTCGGGCTCCTTCGAACTACGCTGCCCAGGTTAAGAAAGCAAAGGGCGGCCCCTGCTGTTGGTTTATAGAGCTTTACAAGAAACCCAAAATACCCTGCAAAGAGGGAGGGGTGCCCCTTAACCATCATTTACGAAGGCTCCATTTTTTTGTGTCGGTTCCTCTGGAAGGGAACCTCAAAACACCCGCAAAAGGGCACCCCTGGGCTGCCAGGGTTTGGGGTTTTAGGGTTCAGGGTTTAGGGTGTTTTAGGGTTTTGGGGTTTTGGGTTCAGGGTTGTGGGGGCTTGGGGTTTAGGGGCTACCAGGGTTTTGGGGTTTAGGGTTCAGGGTTTAGGATTTTTTAGGGTTTTGGGGTTTAGGGTTCAGGGTCTTGGGGGCTTGGGGTTTAGGGGCTACCAGGGTTTTGGGGTTTAGGGTTCAGGGTTTTGGGTTTTTTTAGGGTTTTGGGGTTTAGGGTTCAGGGTTTTGGGGCTTGGGTTTAGGGTTTTGGGGTTCAGGGTTCAGGGTTTTGGGGCTTAGGGTTTAGGGATTAAGGTTTTGGGGCTTAGGGTTCAGGGTTTAGGGTTTAGGACTACTGGGGCAGCCCAGGAGAAGGAAAGTGTGGATCTCGAATCCGGCCTTTGGGCTGGGAGGTTCCACATGGCAGGGTTTTGGGGCTTGGGGTTTTGGACTTGGGGTGCGTAGCCCTAAACCCTAAACCCTAAACCCGAAATCCTTCGAGGTCGGACCCCGAGGATCCGGCCATGCGCGGTGTCCACCAGGTATTTCAACTCCTGGTTTTTTGGGGGTTCATGAGTATTTGTAAGTAGGGTTTAGGGTTTAGGGTTTAGGGTTTAGGGTTTAGGGTTTAGGGTTTAGGGTTTAGGGTTTAGGGTTTAGGGTTTAGGGTTTAGGGTTTAGGGTTTAGGGTTTGGGGATTGGGGATTGGGGATTGGGGATTGGTCTAGGGTTTAGGGTTTAGGGTTGTAAGTACCCCTGAGTAGGGTTGCAAGCTATAAGTAGAGTTGCCATACTCAAACCCTGCTTATGACTACGCATGAACCGACCTTAGATCCCTACTTAAAACTACCCATGAAGCTCCAAGTAGAAACCCTCTAAGCCATGAGAATCGGAAACCCTAAAACCTAAACCCTAGCCCTAAACCCTAAACCCTAAACCCCAAATCCTAAACCCTAAACCCGACACCTCGAGGTCCCCGGGTCCTCAGGAGTTCCAGATCGACTGGCTGGCGCAAAGAAGGAGGTGACCTTACCGCTTTTGCCACCCCATCTCAGCCCCGAATCTTATCAACCCGAACCCTAGGGTTTAGGGCCTAGGGTGTGGGGTTTCGGGTTTAGGGTTTAGGGTTCAGGGTTCAGGGTTTAGGGTTAAGGGTTTAGGGTTTAGGGTGCCGTGGCCGCAAGACCCCCGGCAAGCGAACACTTTTTTGTTCTGCGATGGCCTTGGAGCTGAGGTCAGAACCTTGGGACAAAGGCACCCTTTTTTGGGTTGGTTACCTTTTTAGGGTTTCTTGAACCAAAAAAAGGGGAAAGGGGCAGCCTTTTTTGGGTTGGTTGCCTTTCTAGGGCACCCTTTTTTGGGTTGGTTACTTTTTTAGGGAATCTTGAACCCCAAAAACAAAAGGGGAAAAGGGCACCACCGGGCTAGCAAGGAACCAGGCTAGGCCACGGGAGGCAGGGGCAGCGCCCGAGTGACGTTCGCCCAGGACTGCACCTTCGAGTCGACCTCGAGGGCTCCCCTACTGCCCTACCTCCCAAAGGTTTAGGGTTTAGGGTTTAGGGCTTAGGGCTTAGGGCTTAGGGTTGAGTCCACCTCGAGGAGGTTGTTCGCGGCAATCGCAAACCCGACCCCGAGGCACAGGAGCCCGCCACCGCAAACGATGAGAATGATGATGAGCTCCTAGGATGACTCTTAAAACCTTCTGAAAAACATTCCTCAAGTATAATCCTGTTAACACCCAAAAAGGGGGAAATATGGAAATACTTCAAGGTCCTACCTAGGAGTTGCTTGAGCATTTTTGGGTTTAGCCCTAAGCCCTATAACCCTAAACCCTAAACCCCAAACCCTAAACCCTAAGCCCTAAACCCCAAGCCCTAGACCCTAAACCCTAAACCCTAAACCCTACATCCCTAAACCCTAAACCCTACATCCCTAAACCCTAAACCCTACATCCCTAAACCCTAAACCCTAAATCCCTAAACCCAGGCTCCGTTGTGGAGATGCCCCCGGCTGTACCGGCTGCCTCTGCCGAGCCCGCAGCCAACTTCCCGAGCTTGCCGCCTTCGTAGCCCCCAGTAGCCATATTCGGGTAAGGGTGCCCCTTTTTGGGGGTTTAGGGTTTAGGGTTTAGGGTTTAGGGTCACAGGGCACCACTTGGGCTACCAAGCTGCTCTTGCCGTGCATGAGCTGTGAGAGCTCCTCATGGCGGTGGGCGGCGGCGTAGGCTTCCTGCAAGGACTACCACCCCCCCCCCCCCCGTTTAGGGTTTAGGGTTTAGGGTTTAGGGTTTAGGGTTTAGGGTTTAGGGTTTAGGGTTTAGGGTTTAGGGTTTAGGGCTACCCCCCGTGATTCCTGCAAGAGCGCGGTCCCGGCGTGAAAGTCGCCTTTGGCCTTACTGCTCCCATGGACTTGTGGGGTTTTAACACGAAGAAACAACTTTCTTAACCCTTAACCCTTAACCCTAAACCCTAAACCCAAAACCCTAAACCCTAAACCCTAAACCCTAAGCCCTAAGCCCTAAACCCTAATGAAAGAGAGGTCCCTAAGAAAGTTGAAGCTCAGCTATAGCTCAGGGAAACCCTTAACCCTAAGCCCTAAACCCTAAACCCTAAGCCCTAAACCCTAAGCCCTAAACCCTAATGATATAGCTCTAAACCCTAATGATATAGCTCAGGGAAGGAACGAGCAGGGAGGAGCCGGTCTTCACCTGCTGGAGAATCTTCTTGGCGCTCTGAGCCTCGGGTTTAGGGTTTAGGGTTTCGGGTTTCGGGTTTAGGGTTTGCGTTTAGGGGCTTGGGGTTTGGGGTTTGGGGTTTCGGGTTTCGGGTTTGGGGTTTGGGATTTGGGATTTGGGTTTGGGGTTCCGCCTCCGGCGCGACCGAGTCGGAGATCTCGCCGATCTGGGCCGCCACCTCGGAGACGTTCGAGTCTCCTGAGATCATTTTCAGGGGCAGGCGGGGGGGGGGGGGGGGGGGCAGGTTTGTGTGATGGTTGGATGTGTCTGTATATACATACATAAATATGTGGATATATATATATATATATATATACATACACATATGTGTATATGTATATCTATATATATGTACATGTATATATGTAGGGTGATATAGTGCCAAGAGTCCTGAACCATCCATTTCCGAAGACAACTTCTCAACTTCAGTCTTATCATCTCCGTCGTCCATGCTCGCTGCACTGGCTGCCACAAGCCTTTCTACCTTGGCCGTCAGCTGCAAAAGTTGTCGTTCACCGCCCAAAATGCCCAGGTGCTCGTCCATGACTTGCTTTGCCCTCTGCATGTTATAGCCCGGTTCGGCACAGAATGTGAACTGCCTGTACCTCGGGTGGATTTGGGCGGGGCCTCTTGTTGTTCAACTTCCCTTTCAAAGGCCTCTACATAAACACGTATATTACAAAATCAGCCACCAGGTACGGGTTCTGGAAACTCATGCATTCGGTGTCATTGAAAAGCGACACCGTCTCTTCCTCCGGGGGCTTTGTAAGGAACTCCAGTGAGAAGACTTTCTCGTGGCCGAAGAACTCCCTCACCTGCCAGAAACCCTAATCCCTCAATAACCGAAATACCCCTAAACACCCTAAATGCCCTAAATGCCCCTACGTACCACTAAATACCCCTGAACACCCTAAGCCCTAAATACACTAAATACACTAAACCCTGAAAACCCCAAACCCTAAGCCCTAAGTACCCTAAACCCGAAAGACCCTCAACTCTGAACTACCAGAAACCCTGAACCCTACGCCCTAATCACCTGGTCAATCCCAACTACCCAAAATACCCTAACCCCTGAACCCTAAATACCCTAAACCCTTACCTGGTCGAGAACTCCGACATCCTTGCACACGGAATCTGCCGTCCAGGTGATGATGCCCCTCTCGATGGTGATCCTGCGCTTGGACCACACCTTAGAACACGGTTTAGGGTTTAGGACTAGGGTTTAGGGTTTAGGGTTCAGGGGCTTGGTGTTTAGGGTTTAGGCCTAGGGTTTAGGGTTTGGGGTTCCAAGAGTGGCCCTTGAAACCGAAAAAAAAATACCTTTTCTGATCTCTTAAACCCAAAAAGCGAAATTCTAACATATCCCAAGGGCCTACCGAGCTTAGAAGGAGCGATGATGGGTTAGGTGCTTAGGTTGTTTAGGGGGTCTAGGGGTTTACTGCATTGTTTCAAATATTCCCTTTGGGTTACTTTAATAAAAAATGGGTTACTTTTAATTAAAAATGGGTTACTTTTAATTAAAAATGAGACATGTATGAATAAAAAACATGAAAACTTCCTAAGGGGGCTATAGATCTCAAGGCCCAAGGCAAGACCTTTTCAAGCCCCAAGGCCCTAAAACACCAGGGGTTGCTTTGGTCTGTGGGATGGGGTGGGTTTAGGGTTTAGGGTTTAGGGTTTAGGGTTTAGGGTTTAGGGTTTAGGGTTTAGGGTTTAGGGTTTAGGGTTTAGGGTTTAGGGTTTAGGGTTTAGGGTTTAGGGTTTAGGGTTTAGGGTTAGGGTTTCGGGTTTAGGGTTTAGGGTTTAGGGCCGAGGTGTCTGTAGAGTCTCTCAGAGCCGAAGGCACTCCTTGCCGGCTCAGCTTCCGCACGCACTGCACGTGGGTGGAAGCGCTGGACCACTTCGCCGCCTGGTCATCCATTTCCAGGCCCTCGGGCTGCGCCAGCGCATACACCTGGGCCCACGCAGGGTCTAGGGTCTAGGGTCTAGGGTTTCGGGTTTCGGGTTTAGGGTTTCGGGTTTAGGGCTTGGGATTTTGGGGTTTATGGGTTGTACCTTGGACCCTTAAGGTTGTACCCTTGGCTTTGGGGAACCCTGTTAAAAGATGCTTAAGGCAGGCCATGTTTAGGAGCATGTTAAGGGGTACATCCCTCCCTCCAGCTTTTCAAAGCAATAACTGTCGAGGGGAAGGGGGGGGGGGGGGGGGGGGGGGGGGGGGGGGAGGGAGTTTAGGTGTGTACCAAGTCCCTAAAACGGGCTGTTAGGAAAAGGGGGAACATCCCACTAGTTGTTGAGTTGGCCTCGGCTACAGTTTGCTTGCCCTCCAATGTTTCCGGACAAGCAGTTGCAGCACGTGACAATTGCTGTCCTTGGGCTTTGGGTTTCGGGAGGGAGGCGAGAGACTCTTGTAGTACCAGTTGCAAGAACACCCCCCCCCCCCCCCCAAAAAAAAAAAAAAAACGAAGATAACAATCCCTCTATTGCCCTTATAAGTTGGGATGCTCCCCCTTATACCACAAGTCCTTAATCGGGATTATAATTACCCCTAGTATGATCCCTATTAAGGACTGCTAGTATAAGGGGGAACATCCCAACTTCTAAGGAAGACTGTGTTGTTACTTTTTACTTTTTGGGGGGGGGGGGGGGGGGGCCTGGAGACAAGCTCCCCAACCGAGGGGGGGGCGGGTACTAAACCCTAAACCCTAAACCCTAAACCGTAAACCCTAAACCCTGAACCCTAATAACGCAAAAAGTATGTGTAGGCGAGGGGCCATAGATCCCAACAGCGGGCTAGAGCTGTCCTCATCTTCGAAGGGTGGTGACTCCACGGCGTGCTCTGGGCATCCCATGAGGAAGAAGTCCCACCAGGTCGTGTGCTTCTGCCTGAGGGTTTAGGGTTTAGGGTTTAGGGTTTAGGGTTTAGGGTTTAGGGTTTGGGGTTTAGGGTTTAGGGCCTAAGGGCGAGTGCCGCAAGTCGACGCTGCTGTTTAGGCACTCAAGCCCTCTTCAAAAGCGGTTCTTCTACACACACAATGCTCATGCTCGGTGGTTGTTTTTAGGGTTTGGGGTTTAGGGTTTAGGGTTTAGGGGTCAGCATAGATCAGCACAGGTGCTCGTACCCCTCGGTTGCATTCAGCTCCTTCCATGCCTGCTTGAAGAAGCACAATCCAAGCGGTGACATCTTGGTCGCGAGGCGGAAGAGACCCAGGGGTGCAAAGAACAGAGAAAGCAGCACTCGCTGAACGAAGCTGTTGTCGACGACCTGTGGGAGTGGCTGCAGTTTCTGAACCCCTCTGGCAGAGAAGCCGCATCCTGTTTTTTGCTGAACCGAAAGGCCCTTAAACACCTGAATTCCGAACCCTCTCCACGTCTGAACCCTAAACCCTGAAGCCTGTAGCTGGTTGATCTGGGACTGAACCTAGCTGGGCCCTATCCCCGTCCAAACTTCTGAGGCAGTGATTAGAAGTCGCTTTTCGTGAAGGTCCCCTTTTTGGGGTGAGTTACTTTAGAAGGGAACCTTGAACAGAGCTTAAAGGGGCCAAAGGGTACCGCTGGGCTACCAAGATTGGGGATCCCTGACCTACTAATTCCTTAAGAATCCCCCCCCCTTCCCCCAACAAAAACATATGATTCCTTATAAGGGTAATATAGGGAGTATTAGTTTTAAGACCCCCCCCCCCCCAAAAAAAAAACTGATTCCTTATGAGGGTAAAAACGGGATTATTACTTTTTATTCTTTTGGGGTTCTTAAGCAAATAGTAGCGACTCGACCTTGAGGAAGGTCCGAGCGGTCTGAATCATCGTCCCGCGGAAGGTGTCAGCCAGCCCTTGATTTACCTTAGAGTTCTATAGGGGGTTTAGGTGTGTAGGGTTCAGGGTTTGGGGTTTAGAGTTCTGTAGGGGACTAAAGTATCTCCAAAAGTGCAAAGCGTACTCATTCAGCTAGTCAGTTACGGTTGGCAGCATCGTGAGATCGTCCGAAGCCGCAAAGGAGTCGGCCACCATCTTCTTGGCGTCACTTTTCGCGAGCCACTGGTGGTAGATGATTTTCACCCAAATCACTGGACCTGGGTAACCCAGCAACTACCCTCTACCCTAAAACCTACACCCTAAACCCTAAACCCTAAACACTAAACCCTAAACCCTAAACCCTGAACCCTTTTTTGGGTTGGTTCCTTTTATCAGGGACACCTAGAACCCACAAAAAGGGCTAAAGGGTACCACTGGGCTAGCAGGGGACATGTCAGCATGCAGTAGGTCACGCCGAAGAAGCCCTTGCCATGAATCACGTCATCTGTGCTCGCATTCCTGGGTTTAGGGTTTAGGGTTTAGGGTTTAGGGTTTAGGGTTGAGGGTTTAGGTTTAGGGTGTAGGGTTTAGGGTTTAGGGTTTAGGCTTTAGGGTTTAGGCTTTGCATTCCTGCACACTTGTTGGGGCACCTTTTGAAAAATGAGCATTTTTTGTACCTTATTGGGTTCAAGCATCCATAAAAAATCTAAAATGGTTTTCAACAATGACACAGATTCAGGGCCAGTAGGTGGCCCATGAGAGACTCGCTCTCGGGGATCATCTCAGAGCTTGCGGCTCTGTTAGAGCCTTGGGAGGCCCGGCCACCACCTTGCCTCGGATCCCCAGCAACCTAGGAATAAAAAGGGCTCCCTTTTGCTACTCGGGAGCTTCTCCAGTTACCACCTTGTGGTTGGGTTGGGTTCTGCTTTTGCATGCAGATTGCAGAAGCAACAGGTGATTGGCCACAGGTTCTTAAGATGATTGCAGTATCTAGTATCGCTAAGAAACCCCTCGTCGCATCTCCCGAAGATACTGGAGCCATAGGCGTCTCTTCAGCAGTGTATTCTGTTTGGTCATCCTTGCGCTTTAAACAGCTTGCAACATGGATGAACCAGATTTGCCCTGGTAACCTCTTAGGAGGCCTTGCCCACCGAACTGCTGATACCAGCGAGGTTGATTTGTCCCTTGCTCTTCACGACCCTGACTCCCATTTTGACCTTATTGCAGTCTTCATTGATAGGTGGAAGTGCTTCGATCTTATCTTACCCTACGTGGCTTTAAATGTTGCTGCCCAGTTGGGACTCCCCGATCAGATCTTCAGGGCTGTTCTTGGATTTTATGGTGGGCAATGCAAGTTTTTCAAGCTTGGTAATGTTTATGGGAAGCGGGTTATGTGCACTAATTCGGCTGTTCAGGGGTGCTCCATGTCCATTTTAATGATTCACTGTATGTACGCTGTCTTGTCACGTCAACTCAATACTGTTTGTCCCTCCATTAAGTTTAGCACCTTTCTAGATGATTCCAAAATTTGGACCCGAACTAGTGACACCAATGCACTTGTAGATGCCTTTAAAGCCATCCACGAGTTTGATACCGGGGTCGGACAAGTTTTAAACGATGAAAAAACCATCGTCGCGACCCGTAGGAAACGAAATGCTAAACGATTTCTGTTGAAAGTCGGCAGAGCCTGCAAAGCAAAGAAACAAGCCAAGTCATTGGGTTACTCCCACCAGTTTGATAAGAGGCATTCTCCTAAGCTACAGGATGAGCGAGTCGATAAGGCCAAGGTTGCCATGCTGAAGATCTCCCAACTTCCCTTGTCTCCCGAAATGAAGGCCATTCATGTTCATGCTAACGGCCACTCTAAATGGGTATATGGGACTGAGATCCAAGGCCCTTCTAGGAATGCCTTGGCCAAGCTGAGAACTGCAACAGCAAAAGTTTTTGTCAAAAAGGCTAACAATATGAGATGTCCTTTCCTTTTGTTTGCCACGCTACAGGACCCTTGGCTGGACCCTTTTGCAAAGTGGGTGCAGCACGTTTCCTTGAAGTTACGCCGTCTCGCCTACCTCAAGCCAGAGTTGCTTCGCAAAATCTTATCTCAAGTTCGTGAGGATGCTAGAAATAGGCCTGCGCCTAAGCACAACGTAGCTAACGGTGTAGTCAATGTTGTGGCTTACTTGTTTTTCGCGCTTGGTTGGAAAGTAGGTGACCCCAATGCCTTCAACTTGGTTTTGTCTGATGGCCGCATCATCTCCCTCAAAGCAGGTTCCAAAGACGCTTTTTTGGAAGAGTTGGCGCGGGACGTCAGGAAGTATTTACTCAACCAATCACCTTTCAGGTATGACAACCCGACTCCAGGACAGTATGGCACGCCAGATGTGTACCTTACGCGGTTTCTTCTCGACACGACCTTTGCAAAGGATGACGATTTCCAGTTCCTTCGTGGGTATCTTGATAAGCTCCCTCCGAACATACACTACACACGTGGAATTTTGTCATCGCTTCTATCTGGGTCTGTCTACAACGGACATCGCTATAGAGCGGCAGGACTACGTGACAGCGCTGCGTGCCCACAGTGTGGGAAACAGGAAACACATTGCCACATGTTCCGTGACTGCGAAGCTTTACAGGAATCCATCCCGTCCCAAGGTGACGAACCTTTGTTATCCTGGGTAACGGGTATCTTTTTCGAGCCACCCCACTTCCATGACGAGCCTACACAGGCGTGGAAACTTCCGGTGGTGGAAACGCGCTGGTGTCCACAGTCCACGATTTTTGTGGATGGCAGTGTTTTTCACCATCGGTGGGCGCCAATCCGCGCAGGTGCCTCCGCAGTTACAGTTCCCGGCCTTTTTAAACATGCTGTAGCCGTGCACGGTGCCTCTGTTAACTCTTTTCGTTGCGAGCTTTATGCTTTGATCTTGGCTATCCATTTAACAGACGGGGACATCACTGTCGCTTCTGATTGTGCTAGTGTCCTACGTCGTGCCCAATTCTTGCAGATGCATAATTTTGAATGGGATTGTCCTTACCAGTTTGAAAATCCAGATTTGTGGGATCTGTTTCTTGTTGTAGCAAGGGCACACAATGGAAGCATACGGTTTGTCAAGGTCAAAGCACACACCAAAGGAGAAACATCGCAGTGTCCTCTTCTCACCGCAGGGAATGAGCAAGTTGATGCTTTAGCGAAAGCCACAGCTAAAGCTCTTTCTTCCGATCTTATAGCAAGGTCTCGCCCTTATCTCCAGCAAGCAGTTTCCGTGCAAGTTCACTTGGTTGCTACTTTAGTTAAGCGCTCGGCAGCTTGCCAACTTGCCCCTTTTGACGAGGACGAACAGGCCTCTGCAGGACTAACACAGACTGTGATCTGTACTTGTAAGCCCCGCAGGCGGCTAAATAGCAAGCGCCCTCGGAAATGCTACAGTAATTGTCATTTAATGGGACATTCTGTTCTGCTTGGGGATGTAGAGACAAAGGTGCTGCAGATGTACAGAACGAATACTTTACCGCCTGATGTCCTCTTTGACTGTCTTCGGCGCAGATATCTCGGCTTCTTCGCGCATCTCCAGCCAGAAGGGATGCAGTTTTCAGGGTGGCAAGGGCTTAGCCTAGACCCGCTTCTTCGGGGTAGAAGACCATTGTCTCAAGCAGCTGCTGAAGCCCTTGCCAACTTTGTAAGCGAGCAGAGATGGTTCTTTTGCGACAGGCCTCAAGGGGAACGAACTCCCTGGCTGGTAGTTTTGATCGAGTTTCTTGCAGTGTATGGTTTCTTTCCTGGTTGGTTGGTCCCGGGCATGACCGCCCGCATCCTGGTGTCTCGCTTCAGAACTTTCTTCTTAAGATTGTGCAAAGGCCTTCCGACCAGTATTCATTCCGTTAAACATGTTAAATCAGCGGCAGTCTTTGGTATGAAAAGCCTTAGTGGCTTCTATGGGTCCATGAGGTGTCAACATTTTCACCATCAGATGTTCATTTTTCTCCAAGCTAGCCTTGCTCAAAGCGTATGTCTCCCTGATAGGAAATCGCTTGGCCACAAGTGGACCCCCAAATTCGATGGTTTTGACGGTATCCCGCCGTATTAGTTTCCTTATTTTGTCTGGATTCAGAAGCAGCCTGAAGCGGCTACTCATTGTTACTTGTCGACAGGTCGCGGCCTCAGACACACAGTGCAGCAAAAAAAGGGCTCCCTTTTTGGTGTTGGGTAGTTTTATAAGGAACCTAGACCCCAAAAAGGGAAAAAGGGCCCACTGGGAGACCTAGATGCAAGACCAGGCCATGCATGACGTTGGCGGAGTCCACAGTTCGAACTGCTTCGGCGCCTCGGGGGTTTTCTCTGATGTTCGGGGTACCTTATTGGGGGTCCTTATGATAAGGGAGTCCTAGAGATCTATTTTAGGGGTACTATTTTGGGGATCTATTTTGGGGGTTAAATCCCCCGCCTGCTAGCATGAAGATGAAGCAAAGGGCCACACACTGACGCCGCTGCATCGTGAGCACACGAGAGAATGGAGATGGAAAAGATTGCACAAACAGGCAAAGCGCTTGCCTTTTTTCTCGGCTTGAGAAATGGGCTGCGCCAAACACATGCTCTGATCTCATGAGGCGGTGCCGCTGCAATGCAGGCGTGTAGAAAGTTTATCCGAGCACAGAGCCAACAAAGCACTGAACGCAAAGCCCAGCGGCATGATAGCCGAAGCAGCCGTAGTGTGCGTGCTCGGCCACAGCCATGAGCTGCACCGCGTTGTAGCCCATGCGCTTGATGCGCGGCAGCACTTGACTGGGCGGCGCTGAGCGGGGAGAGGTCTAGTTTTCATGAGGGGCCATATGTGCCTAAGCCTGGAGAAGGTGTTCACTCGACACTGCCCTGCAAGGTCCTAGCATTACGGACACCCAGTGAGTTTTTGGGGTCGCAGTCGCAGACGTGTATAGGGTTTTTACGGGGGGGGGGGGGGGGGCCAAAGGCTTTCTAGGTACCTACCCCACATGAACCTCCTAATTAAACCTAAACCCAAAGCCCTAAACCCTAAACTCTGAACCCCAAGCCCTAAACCCTAAACCCCCCTCCATTCATAACCCAAGAACCCAAGGACCTGCTCCTGGCCACCCTCGCCATGAGCAGGACCTATACAAACCACTGAAAACGACTGAAAAATCTTTCCAAAGTACATGGGTACCTCTTACATCCCAATCGAAAGAAACTACATCATCTTAAGGGTTTAGGGCTTAGGCTTCGAAGTTTAGGGTTTCGTGCCCTAGGCTTTTAAACCCAAACCCGAAATGACAAGCCGCAAGCTCCAAACCCTAAACCCCAAACCCCAAACCCCAAACCCTAAAACTAAAAAACACCAAACCCCAAACCCTGAACCCTACACCCCAAACCCCAAACCCTAAACCCCAAACCCTGAACCCTACACCCAAACCCCAAAACCCTAAACCCCAAACCCTAAACCCTACACCCCAAACCCCAAACCCTAAGCCCCAAACCCTAAACCCCAAACCCTAAACCCCAAACCCTAAACCCTGTTTCATATCGCAGGTCAGGCTACTCGGCAAACTCAACGTACGTAGACACCTTTGGCTCCACGGTTCCCATGCCTGCGGTTGACGGAATTTGGGGGGTCTTGGGGATGTAGGGTTTAGGGTTTAGGGTTTTGGGGTTTTGGGGTTTAGGGTTTTATATTTTTCGGTTTAGGGTTTATATAGGGGTTTAGGGATTTGGGCGTTTCGGGGTTTAGGGTTTACATAGGCTTTTAGGGGTTTAGGGTTTACATAGGGGTT